GGGGGAAGATATGAAGATTCCTCTCTATATATGTGCTTTGGCCCAAAATAACTAAGTAGGTGTTGAGCTCGAATACATACAACTGTTGCGTGATCTTAAGACGGATCTATCATACTCTCAGAAGAATAGCAGCCCAACTTTAGGAACTTTCAGGTATACTTAGACATTGTCATCTCACCCTGGACCAGGTATGCAAACTCCATTTTTTTCAAATACCAAAGATGCTCTAGGAGGTACTCTGCATTGAAAGTTACCAGAAACTATTTTCAAGTGACTGGAATGGACAGGGTGACCTGCTTCAGCTGCCACCAGTGACCTGCCTTACCCATAAATATATAGGTGGCAAGTACAACCTTCTATTCAGGAACTACACCAAGAGTTACGAAAGTATTTTCTGTCTTTGCTAACTAGTACTCTGCTTCTTCGAATAAGGATACCCCCTGTAAAGATAGATGAGTTTAGTCTCTTATACCTCTCAATGTAGTATGAGTCCATTATGGGTGGAATTGAGTCTCATTAAAGATGGACTAGATTATGCTGGGGAAGGATTGGGTGGCCCTATGGCGACACCTGATTGTATGGTGGGGGAACCATATTGTACTGTGGCAGTGTCAGATGATATGGTGGAGGAGCAAGACTGTATTGAGGTGGCATTAGATCTTCTCATTGTAGGAGTGGCTCATACTATGGCAGTGGTGGAGGGTCAGGTAGCTCCCTCATCTCTTTCCAAGTCTGTTGCGTAGAGATAAGTCTCTCTAACATCTCAAAGAGTCAATCGACATCCTCTCAAAGTGACCCATCTCAGGCTGCTCGATTTAGTGCGGGTCTTCCTCTCATCATATCATTGTACTTGTATTTCATAAGAAAGGGTTGAGTATTAGGTTGTATTTTAGTAATTTAGATCTTTGTGCACGAAATGGTTTCAAGAAACGCGATTCTGATATCAACTGTAAAAGCCCAGAACTTAAGGAAATAGAAATATCGAATTATACCAATTATAAGCGGAATCAATTTAGAATTTAAAGTTTACATTCCTTACACAATAAATCAGGATACCCAATAGGGCTACCGGAATGTCCCTTTATAGAAGTTCAAAGTAACAAAATAAATAATTGAAACCAAACAAAATAAAAATCCCATAGGGTCAACCTCTACCGGGCAAATTTGATGGGGTTCGAGAGGTAACCTTTATTTATAACCCTTCTGCTATTCTGAATATGGATCTTGGTCTTCTTGATATTAAATTATTAAATAGGAAAATGAACTACATTAACCCAGTAAGAATATCACACTTAACATCGATATAGAAATCTAAAGGTTGGTAAAAATATCAAAAAATAACCAATGGAACTCTTATTTCTTTATAAATAAATTCATTTAACTCAAAAAGTATTATTTCATACTTACCCTTATGAGTTTTCAAAATTGACCTATGAAGAAATAACCCAGATAACATTGTAATTTCATATTCAAATAAGTAATAACAACAAACCTACTTATTTACCACTACCACTGGGGGTCCATATGGATATCCCTTTACACGTGAACCCAATATTTAATTTATTAATTATCGACCGTTCCATAACCCGTCCAGTAATGAGCACTAAATATGCCACCGCGTCAATACTCCATCCAGTATGAGGGTAAACTATATCTCCCAATTCCTTCCGGTATGAGACTTTTCAGCCCCGTTCGACTGAGGTAATGTTCACAGTAGGATTTTTTCCATATACCGGATCTGTCCACTCTTTTTCAAAGTACCCAATAAACTTTTCATACACAGATCTACATCATCAACTAATCACCAATCACGTACCAACATCTTATTTTTACCAATTAATAGTAAATCATGCAAATAGACAATACATAAATTAAAGAAATATGATTAGGACATTTATTGCAAGCTAATCAACAGATGAGGACAATGTGAGTAGATAACCGAGAAATCAATTAAAATTAATAATTTAAAGCACACGATATAACAGTAAGCATTTTAGACAGTATAAAAGAAAATAAACAACAAGTTATGGCGAATATACACTGACCGATTCTGGCTCCACGAGTGACTTGTAATTAATTTTATTTCTAATTTTCACAAAACACAATGTTATTGATTATTAAACTTCAATTTATTGTAACAGAGAAAAAGGTGAGGAACTATTACCCTGGATCAATGTTCGAAATACTGTACTTTTCATTGCACCTTCACCTTCTGGCGGTTCTCGAATTTTTTATATTTTTCATGCAAAAATAAAAACTTCAATTTATCATAATAGAGAAAAGGGTGAGAAACTCTTACCCTGGATCGGTGTCCGAAATATTATACTTTTCACTGCACTTTCTGGCGGTTATCAGATTTTTAATATTTTTCATGCAAAAATAAAAAATACACGTCACGTATCCAAAAATACCTCAAAAGGCCAAAATAGATGTTTTTAAACTTTTTCGATCAATTTAGTGTTCCGGCACGGTGGCGTTGTCGTGCTCTAGCACTGGCTCTGTTGCCCATAGCAGTGGTTCCTCTTAGTCTGACCATTTTCGACTAGTTTTTGCCAGTTTTTGCATGAAATCTGCAAAAAAAATAGTGTTAGGGGGCCTCTGTTGGTTGGAAAAGGGAAAAACCAAAAGCCTAGTAATGGAAGAGTCTTTAGGTGCGACGACTCTACCGTTTCTCCTTTGTGGTTGGGGTGTTTCTTCGGCTAACCAGCATCAGAACGAAATAAGGAACACAATGGCCAAAAAAGCGAAGAAAATGAGAAACGGGAAGTGGGTCATCGAATAGGTATTTGGGTTGCGGTCACGATGGCTCGACCGAGATTTGCTCGTATTTTTTGGCTCATCCACTACTTTTTTTTGCTCCGATATGGGCGTAGGGAGGCTCAAAAATCAATTCTAATGGAAATTTTTTTTTTTTTACCTTTTTCGATGTTGGTGGTGGCTTTGGTGCATCAACGACGGTCTCCCTTCGGCAACTGGTCTTCCCTCCGGCTGCCCTCCTCCTTATTCTTCGGTCAGGGTTATCGACTAGGGTTTCGAGATCGACTGAAGTTTTCCCTCTGATCCTGGTCGTTCGTTCGCATCGATGTGGAGCGAGGAGAACTGTTCGATCGTTGTCTATTTAGGCCGATCACGTGTGCGAATATGGACCGTCTATCATGATCAATTTCATCTGTCTGATCGCTTATGAAGAAGAAACGGATATGGGTCGTTTGTGCGTGCGAGATGCGATTTGGGTTGTTGGGTCGCCTAGGCACTCGGATCACCTGCGTGGAACCAGTGTTAGCATATACGCCACGTGATGCGTTCTGACTCGCCGTGCTACTCATGTAGCCGTTTCATGTGGTCGTATTTCACTTTTTTACGATTTTGCCCATGTTTTAAATTTCTCTTTCAGAAGTACCTCCCATTATTCACAATTTTACATATTTTTTTAAAATTGTTTTCAATTTCATCCATAAATTTATTTTTCTAAAATATTTCATAAAAAATAAAATAAAAAACAAAATTAAATTATTTTATACATTATATTATTAAGGTAAAATTACCCCGGACCAAATTTTTGGGACTGGATATTACATTTAAATTAATCACTATATTATTTTTTTTATTTTTTATTTTATCTACTTAAGAAAATATGTATTAGTTTATATTAATTAAATATCATTAATATCATTAATGAATTACTACGTCATAGTGAATTGGATAAGTGATTATTTTTTATTAGATAAATATCTATTTTATATGTTATGTAATTTTTAACGTATAAAAAATAATTTAATTTTTAGTTATTTTTAATCAAAACTAAAAATCTAGAAATATAAAAAAAATTCTTCATCCTAGCTTTTCTTATATTTATTGTTTTGTTCTATGTTCTTCATTTTTTTAACTTTTTCAAATTTTTATTAAGCATGTACCTTATAATTTAAAATTTCATTCAACAAGAAAAAACCAAAGGCTCAATTTGTTGTCACGTAACAAATTACTAAAAATATCAGTAGTATTTAATGAACAAAATTAATACATACATATATTTGTTAAACATAAAAAAAAAAACAAAATAAAAAGATTAATACAGAAATAAAATCAAATATTTAAAAATAATATAAAGAATAATAATATTTAAATCATTTTATTCTAAAAATATATATCTAAATCATTTATCGTCTTCTTCACTTATCTGCCAACCACCATAACCCAAACGTCTCTCTCTCTATTCCTCAGCCTCATCCTGCTCCTCGATTCTACTTCACTGGCCAAGCAAATCGGTATAGTTTTTCTTTATCCATTTTCTGTGCAAAAATTCAGCCCTCTCTCTCTCTCTCTATCTCTCTATATTTCATTTTTAATTTGTAAAAAGTATAGGAGTGAGATATATATATATATATATATATATATATATATATATGTATGTATTTACAGTGAAATTGGAGAGGAAAATGGGTGATAAAAAGAGATGAAAGAAGAAAGAAGAAAGAAGAAAGAAGAAAGAAGAAAGAAGAGAGACAATGTTGAAGTCAAATGCTGTAGCGAATGGATTAGCGGGAGCAGGTGGTGGTATTATTGCTCAAATCATCACTTATCCCTTACAGACGGTACACATCTATCTTATTTTATATAATATTTAGGTTAAATTACATAATATTATTGCAAAGTTGTTGATTAGAATTCGAGTACTGTCTTATATCCCGATTCAAAGGGAAATGATCGATGATCATAGAAAAACACTGAGAAACTGAATTAGTCCATCCAATATTACAGGTGAATACGCGGCAACAAACAGAAAGAATTGCAAAAAAGAAAAATTCTAAAACTGCTGATTCTACTTCTATTTCCAAGCCAATTTCTGGACGTAGCACCCTTTTTCAGATACTCCATGTAAGTAGCTCTACAATTTAATTAAATTCCCATATATATTGTTTTTTAATATCTACAGTATATGCAGCACTGGTTATATATATTATTATGATGTGAGATTAGGTGATTCAAAGTGAAGGTTGGGGAGGACTTTACAGCGGGCTTAAGCCTTCTCTGCTGGGAACTGCTGCTTCCATGGTCTATCCGACAAACATCTTAACTATAATATTTAGTTTTGTTTATTTATATTCATTCATTTATATATAATATAATAGTGTAATATATATAAATACATACAGGGCATTTACTACTATTTTTATCAAGTATTCAAGAATGAGGCAGAGAGAATTGCAGCTGCTCGTAAGCTAAAGGGGCGTGGAGATGGCTCTGTTGGCATGTTCTCCTGGCTTCTTGTTGCTGCTCTTGCCGGGTCATTAACATTACTTAATTCTTATTCATATACTAAATAATGGTCAACTTTTTAGTGAGCAAATATTGATTTCTGAGTTGGATAAAAATTTCGATTCTTTTCGAATATGATCACTAAAATTTTCTTTGTGAACTTTCTAGTTCTAACATGGATGACTTGTCGTTAACTAAATTATGAAATGATCTGAAAGCTAATCTGCAGGTCGTTGAATGTATTGCTCACAAATCCGATATGGGTTCTTGTCACTCGTATGCAGGTCTTTAAATAATAATTCTTTTAAATGTCTTTCAAGTGAAAATTCATACCTGCCATTTTAGTATTATATATACTAATAAAGCTTATTTCAGACCCACACACAAGCAGAAAGAAAAATGGCAGAGGAAAAGAGGGAAGCCTTATTGAGGGAAGCTTCTCAAGGCGAACTCGATGCTTCTGTTTTAGAGCACAAACTGGCTCATCTTGATTCGACTAAACCCTGTCCTTATGGAACCATGCAAGCTGTTTGTATCCATCTATCTCTTCTTAATTCCTGTCACTCCCAGTAGAAAGCAAAATTATTATTTAGATCTCATTTTGATTTGATAGGCATTCGAGGTTTATAACGAGGCAGGAATTGCTGGATTTTGGAAAGGCATCATCCCTACACTTATTATGGTTGTTTGCTTTCAGCTCTTTATAATTAGATGGTCTTTGCTAACTTATAATTTGCTCAGTAGGAGTTTATAACATATTCATGTTGTTATACATGGCTATTTATGTATTATATTAAAATTTATTTTCTGGATGACAGGTTTGCAATCCTTCTATTCAGTTCATGATTTATGAAACCTCATTAAAGCATCTCAGGGCAAAGCGTGCAGCTTACAAAGATAGAATATCAGCTCTGGAGGTACATCTACACCATTTCTTTCTTCTGTTTGTATATGTGGATGATATAAATCATATATGTACGAATATGCTGAACAGGTGTTCTTACTAGGAGCCACAGCTAAATTAGGTGCAACAGTCACCACATATCCCTTGTTGGTTGTCAAGGTAAAGTTTTTGATTTGCAACAGTCACCGCATAACTCATACTTATAAACCTATTTTTGGATAAAAATTGATAAAATCCAAGTGCATTATCTCGATCCCATTTGGGATTAATTTCATTGATGATTGTGTTTATACAGTCTAGGCTTCAAGCAAAGCAAGAGATAGGAGGGAGTAATTCATTAAGATATACAGGTGCTTTTCTATTTTTTTAAAGATTTTTTCCCCAAGAGTATATATAGCTCATATACTATAACATTTTTATTTAAAATATATATGTATAATTAATTTTTTTTTTAATTTAATTGGGACAGGTACAGTAGATGCAATTATAAAAATGTTAAGGTATGAAGGGATAAGCGGGTTTTACAAAGGAATGAGCACAAAGATAGTCCAAAGTGTTTTTGCAGCTTCTGTACTTTTCATGGTGAAGGAGGAGCTTGTCAAAGCCTACATAGCCTTGGCTGATAAGATTCTCAAACTTGTACCAAGGTTGATGCATTTATCATTTCATTCATAATGGAGTTTCCTGTCTTAGAATTGTATAGGTCAAGACTTATTCATTGAAGATTTCTCACCCCATATATATATATAATATCCAAACCTATACATATACACATATGTGTGTGTATATATATATATATATATATATATACACAGAAATTAAAAATTGATTGAAAATTGTCTCATGTTAACTATACATATATTGAGATTAAAATCTTGAAATTAAAACTAACAATTGTATGTTTGTGACTCTATCTTATGACATGAAATCAAATTTTGTAGTTAATTTTTTAAAGCATTATCACTCTTTAACATAATTATATAAATATAAGAAAATGTATTCACCTCTTAAAGACCTTCAATTCTTTTTTTTAAAAAAAGAAGATATATGATTTTTTTAATGGAAATACCAAAGTTTTCATGAATACCAATGAAATAATGGTTAGTGTTTTGACTTTAAATGACTAAAATAATTGAAAAATATATACAATTATATAAAAATGTTTTCACCACTTAAATGATCTTATAATTTTTTTAATATAAAAAATAAAAATCTTTATGAATACCAATGAACTAATAGTGAGTTTTTTATTCACCTTTTAGAAAATGTTGTAATTTTTTTAACCAAAATACAAAAGTCTTCAAGTATACCAATGAAATAATAGTTGAGTGTTTCAAATTTAAATGATTAAAATAAATAATATATATAATTATATAAATTTACAAAAAAATTTAATTTAAAAATAATAAATTGTAAAGTTCAAGAACTTAAAAGAAACGAACTTATATTTTAAATGCTGAAACAAATAATAAAAGTTAGAGTTTTTATTTCTTACACAATAAATTAAAATGTTCAATAGGGTTACGAGAATATCTCTTCTACAGCGGTTTATAAAAAGAAAAAATAATGATTAAAAATAAATAAATAAATGTCGTAAGAGGTTAACCTTCACTAGCATTTAAAGGGAGTCTGAGAGGTAAACTACTCACAACCATTTTGCTGATAAGGATCTAAATTTTAATCTTCTTAATATGAAATAATGAATAGAATGGTGAACTGTACTAGTCCAATAAGAATATAACACAAATAATTGATACGAAAAATCGAAGGTTTGTGAAAATCATAAAACAACTAATGAAACTGTTAATTTAAGTAAATTCGTTTAATATTAAAATATTTACTCCATACTTACCGTTACAAGTTTTTCAAAAATCAACATATAAAGATTAATATCCATACAACATTTTAATTTCATGTACAAGTAAACAAGATCAATAATTCTATTTTTTAACCTGCTTACTGAAATCCTTGGGGGTCCATAGGGATATCTTCATACTCATGAACTTAATCTCTAGATTTGTCAATTAACCCAGCCGTCTCCATACTCCGTCCAGTAATGGGTGCCAAACACACCATTACCTCAATACCATGTCAAGTATAAAGGTGAATCGTATCTCCCAAACTCTTCTGGTGTAACGACTTCGGAAATTCAAAAGGAAATACATATAATAATTTGAGTGCGGAAGCAAAATAAAATATTAAGGTTAACATCCCTTACACAATAACTTAAAAGTACTAAACAACATCATGGAATAAGTTCTCTGAAAGAAATACGAGAAATGAGAAAATAAAGGAAACTATAAAGCATCTAGTATCTACTCGCCGTCTTCTTGTGGATCGGGTTAGGGAATCAGGTCCTCCTAATCTGAAATGGTTAAATAAGGAATGAACTACACTATCCCATTAAGGACATCACACTATATCACTATCACAAAAGTAAAGGTTGGTAGAAAACTAAAAACAACCGATGGAGCACAAATTTTAAATCAATATATTTATTTAAAATAAAACTATTTACCTTTTTTCTTACCCTTGGAGAACTTGTGAAAATAACCTATAAAGACAATAACATCATACAGATCATAATTTCATGCATAATCAGTAACATAAAACATATCATAAATCCGTATTCATTAACAATAACTGATTATCATCATTTCTCATTTTCACCAGCCTACTAATATCCATGAGGATCCATATGAGTGTCACCGCTACACGTGAACCACTCTCCTTAACAATCTTAATTCCAGAGCCGTCCCCATACCCCATCCGGTATGAGTGCCAAGACATTAAACCTCAATAATCCATCCGGTATGAGGGTGAAGTGAGCCGTCCCCATACCCTGTCCGGTATGAGCACTAAATGACCAAATCTCCATACCCCGTTCGGTATGAGACAACGTTCACGGTAGGGTTCCCTAAGAACCCGGTTTGTCCACCATCTCCTAGGATATCTAGTGAGGCTATCACCTCATCTGTTTTTCCTTAGTCTCGTTACCAAGTTAAACATAATCACATAAACAATAAACATGCACCCGGTAATACAATCATATTGTAAATTCTAAAATCACACAGTGGTCAAGTAAGACAGTAATACATGCATTTAAAACCATAAAATAGATAGACCAGATACCATAATGCATTTAAACTGTAAAATAAATCAAGTAGGAATCGACAAAGAATAATGTCCAGTTTGGACTCCATTAGCAACCTTAATTAATTATGCATATATATTAATTTGTACAAAATATAGTATTACCATTTATTCGAACTTTAATTTCATGATAGAAAATAGGGTGAAAGGTCCTTACTTGATTCGACGCTGAAAACTAGATTGTTACTGCACGTACGGGCAGTCCTTGGGTTCCCTGAATTTTTTTTCGGGAACTGAAAAGCGCTTACGGTTCCTACACATGTCCCAAATAACCCAAAAATCAGACCCAGGGCTTACTCGGCCAATTTTAAAATTTTGACGCGGCTGCTCCGCCGTGCTCCGGTGCTGCTGCCCACGGCGGTGATCCACCTCGGGTTAGCTATATTCGACCGTTTTCGGTCAAATTCAGCTAAACTTGCATCGGTTCCTGTGAGAAAACACACTTAGGGCCCTCGGTGGGCCACAAAATATAGAAAATCGAAACTCACCAGTGGTGGGGCTCTCCAGTGCGGTGGCTCCTCCGGCTCACGTTGCGGTTGAGTGTTTTGCTCTGGTTAACCTGTAGAGGAGGAAATAGTGATCACAATGGTGAAAAAATTACATCGGACGGGAATCGGGAAGGGCCTCATCGGAGGCGAAAATCGAACACCCCGCGGCAGCACCGCAGAGCTTCGTTGGTGTTTTTCGGCCAATTGGCCAGTTCTTTCCGTACCGCCCGGGAAATTGAAGAATAAAAAAAATAAATCGATAGGCCACGTCATCAGCCACGTC